CTGAAATCCAAAAGCAAGTGGCTTAGCAGGAAGAGTCGAGAAAAAAATAAGAGCAAATAAAGGTATTACGAGATGACAGTTGCAGCGGTTGGCACTACGCGCGGGGTGGCAGGGGCAAGGACCCTATATAAGTGCCTGATTCTCGATGCCTTCCTCACTCCGTCTGTGGGCTCCCTTCTCTTCCACCGAGGCTCAAAATCTGAATTATTGTTATTTTTCATTCTTATTTTCATTGCCTGTACCGTCGCAAGTGTGGAGGTGAAGTATTTTTTTGGATAATTAAAAAAGAGGTATTGCTTCGTTCGTTCCTGACAAGAGACAAGATCAAGGTCGTTTTTGGAGATGGGAAAGTGGTCACCAGAGTACAAGCAGGTGGGTGTCTGTGAGAGGTTTACTGCTACTGTCTGCAAGTGACACATTCGTGCAAGTTGCGTGGAGACTGGACACAGATAACAATTAACAATTCCCTTGCCCTTTTAGACTTTTTTTTTCTTATTACCAATATTCTTAATCTTGTATTCATTTTTCAAAATAATCAATGCATGTTTGTCAGCAAAACCACTATGCTTATTTCAGTTTCATGTCTTGCCCGAAAAGAGTACATCTCAGTGTTTATGGTAGTCTCTGAAGCCCAGCGCCTCTGAACAGGTGTGGGTTGAGCATGTCACACGTTCTGCATGCTGGGAATGGCAGATTGAAAGTCCGAAATAGGTTTAGGACTTTCTAAACTGGGGACTTGGTTTTAGTGAAATATGGGTTTGAACATTTGCATGCGTCTGATTCTAGAAACTTCTTTTAAAAATTATTTGAAATATGTGTGCCATCTTTACACGCAATGAACTTGTTTTGTGTGAAGTGTTTATTTTTCTACCGGTGGAAGGCATGTATCTTTGCATGCTTTCGTAGATGTTTAGTTGTGTGGGCATGTATGGGTGGGAGTGAACGTATAAACACTTTATGCATGGGTTAATGTGTGTAAGACAATTGTGAATGTATGAGTTAGATATATCCATCACGCATGCTTATTTACAATAATAATAAACCGTTGTATTTAAGCAGTTTTTCAAAGTTGTTCAAAGTTGCTGGTTCTAAATTATGTAAAAGACTGTCGCACACTCTGCATTCACCTCCTCTGAATGACGGAAAGCATGAGCCATTGTTTACCAAGGAGGTGAATGTAGCTCTCTAATTAATCAAGGGTCGCAGTCCACGATAAGAAATGGACTGGGTAAAGAATGCATGACATGGAGAAAAAATGATAGAAGAGAAGAATCACTTTATAAAATTCTGAGTGAATATGAGCTAGATCAAGATTGTAGTCCACAGTAATAAATGGACTGGGTAAAGAATGCATGAAATAGAGAAAAAAATCTACAATAATAAATGGATTGGGTAAAGAATGCATGAAATAGGAAAAAATCTACATAAAATGGACTGGGTAAAGAATGCATGAAATAGAAAAAAAAAATAAAAGAGAAGAATCACATTAAAAATACTGAGCGAATGTAAGCTAAATGGATGACAGCTCAGATTAGGGATTAGGGATTAGTACAGCTGATGATGACTTTCTAGTTTCAGTGGGTCGTGCACCTAGCGGTTCCAGCAGGCAGAAATGGTGCTCGCCTCCGTATCTGTTCTCACCTACAGTATGTTAACGGATAAAGAGAGGTTTCTCTGCCAATGATTTTCTCTGTATTCTCGCTACATTTTTCGTTTCTCGTCACTTGTTCTTTCAGTGTAAATGTTAAATCTTCCTTTTTTAAAAATATTTTCAGTCCACTTTTTTTTCTTTGATCTTGTTTCTGTGAAAACTTTGTCTGACTTTGATCACTTATTGATGTTGATCTTAGATTTTGTGCACGAGCTTTTGTTGTTTGCTTGTGTATGCCTTGACACATATGTGAACGGACATATGGTCACACACACACACACACATACACACACACACACACGCACACAGAGTTCATTCACGTACATGCACTCAGGAAATTAGCCCACACACGTGTAGAGTATTGGCAAATACATATACATAAATAATGTTTTGTACAAAGACCCATGCATAAGCATACAAATACGATATACACATGTACTCCAACATACACACAACACACAAAGACACACGTACGCACATACATCATACATGAACACAAAACACATAGAAATACACAAAATACGTGACACTTGATATACCAGTCTCTCACACACACACACGCACGTACACATTCCACATAGCACTGCTACGGCAATGCACACATATACACATGCATAGTAAACATAAAACTCATACACCGATCTTACGCACGTACACGCACAGAGTATACATAACATTCGCACACCAATCTCACGCATGTACACAACACACGCACATAACACTCACACACCAATGCCCCGCACGTACAAAAAAAGAAAAAAAATACACAGGATACACAAAACACTCACATACCCATTTCACTCCAGCGCCCACTAACTCCCTTCTGCTCACGATAGCTCTCATCAGCGGTGGGCGTGTCTATGGTGGGCGTGGTTCTCGGGGTCGTCATCGCCTTCCCAGCGCTCGCCCTCGATGCCTGGCGCCTCGAGGGGGACATCACACTCAGCGAAGTCGAGGCCGGATGGTTCGGTGAGTGAAAGGGGCGTGGAGGATGAGGAATGGGGATTCGATTATCAGTGGAGGATTCGGGATTGGGGATTCGGTCATGAGGGAGAAGCTTGTGAAACCTTCGAGATTTTTTTTAGATATCATATATCTTTTAAACAATTGAGAAAACAACATAGTAGTGTTTTTTCACCAATGTAACAAAGTAAAAAAAATGCTGTATACAAAAAAGTTATACAAAAATAAGTTCTGGCTCTTAAAATTAATCTTTTAAACACATCCTGACTTCTCTTTACGCACACTCACACTCTCTCTCACATACACACGTACACACACACATACACGCACACACAAAGATAATATTTTGATTTTTTTTGTCTCAAAAAAAAAAAAAAAAAAAAAACTATATATATTCCCTCTTGCCCGGGTCTTCCTTTAACTGTTCCTTCCTCCGCTCTGCAGTCAGTGTGGCTCAGACAGTGTCAGTGGCAGGATCCATTGCAGGAGGATATCTGAACGACGTCCTCGGCCCCAGGAGGCTCTTGTTAGCGGTCCTGCCTCTCCTCGCTAGCACTTGGCCGGTTCTCTTGGGCTGCGTGCACAACCTGCCCCTTCTCCTGACGGTGCGGGTCCTTCAGGTGAGCGGCTCATCCAGGGCGATCTGTTCTTAGTTTGTTTAGGGGATTCTGTGTTGACTTTTTTGTTTATTTGCTTCATATTTCTTGTGATGTTTCAGAAGTAAGGTATGAGAAACTGAAAAACTGAGAAAATGTTGGTATATCATATTCATATACTATTGGTATTTGCATAGTTACTGTTTGTCTCAAAAGGACATTTCTCCCCGCGCCAAATCCCAGGGCCTGCTGTGCTCGGCGGCCACCGCGAGCGTCTACATCTACCCGTGCGAAGTGACGGAGGCGCGGCGGCGCGGCGCCGTGGGCGTGCTCCCCGACGCGGCCTTCTCGCTCGGCTTCATGCTCACGTACTTCCTGGCCGCCATCCTGCACTGGTCGACCGTCGTCGCGATCCTGCCGCTGTTCTTCCTTCCTTGCGTCGTGACTGTGTTCCTGGTGCCGGAGTCGCCGTCGTGGCTGCTGCAGCGCGGGAGGGTGGAGGAGGCGCGGGCCATCCTCCAGCAGCTGCGGGCTCCGGACGTCAACGTGGAGAAGGAGCTCCTGGGCATGGGCCCCCTGGGCGAGTGCGGCGAGGCCTCCGTGGCGAGGCAGCCGCGCCTCCTGCTGCCGATCCTGGCGTCCATCTTCCTCATGGTGCTCAAGGAGGCCACGGGGCAGATCGTCGTCGTCCTCTTCGTCGTCCACATCTTCCGCAAGGTCGACGTGGGGATCCTCCCGCACGTGAGCTCCATGCTGGTGGGCTCCGCTCGCCTCGTCGCCAACGTCGCCTGCTCCCTCCTGGTGGGCCGCCTGCCTCGCCGAACGCTGCTCATCTCGGCGTCTCTGACGGCCAGCGTCACCATCGCCGTCCTCGGAGACTACTTCTTCCGGCAGGACTCACAAGTGTGGCCGGACTGGGTCCCCTTGGCTTGCCTGAGCGTGTTCGTGGTGGCCTACGGCGCCGGCATAGGCCCCGTGACCTGCCTGATGGCGACTGAACTCCTGCCTGGCGCGGTGAGGGGGCTGGGGAGTGGCCTCGCCGGCTCGGCCCTCAACGCCTCGCAGTTCACGCTGACCTTCGCGGCGACGCAGGCCGGCTCGGGCTTCTACATCTGCCTCTGGAGCTACGCGGCGGGAAGCGCCTGCCTGGCCGCCTTCGCCCTCCTGCTTCCCGAGACGAGGAATAAGTCCCTGCGACAGATCGAAGAGTACTGGGCGGAAGTTTCAGAGAATATAACGGGCAAGCGGTGGTGCCCCTGCGCCCGGAGAGGGGCGCCCGACGACTGTGAGGCGAACGCCAAGAGCAACACCAGAAATAACGACACCGAGTTGGTCAGAACCGTCTGAGGGCCTCTCCCTCTGTGCGCACGCCAGGGAGCTGCGTTCAAGGATGGACGACTGGCAGTTTGGTGTGGACAGCTGGGTGGCGCCGCTCAGGAGGTTTCATGCAAAAGTTCTCGTTCGTCAAGTTCTCGACTTGTGTTAAGCCAGATGGAAAAAATCTAAGATAACCAAAATAATTGTTTGTGGAATCTACATCGCACGTACACCTCGGTACCACAAAGCAGATGTCCCACCCAGGCCAATGTATGTACTACCTGTGATAGGGTCTTTGGAACACCCGGCCGAGGCTGCGGTCACACAGCGGTCTGTTCGACGTGAGAAGGCGAGAAGTGACAGGAGATTTCTAAGTCAATTCTTCACATCTGCATCTGGCCCTGGCGACGGAAGCTTAATACTGAATATCTGAAACTCCATTTTCAGATCTTACGGGTAGCATCGCATTGTCTTCTCTTTGTGAATAAACCTCACAATTCTCCATATCATGCATAGTCATCGTGCATTACATTCACAACAGTCACTGCCTTTTCACTCGCTTGTGATTCAACATGAACATGTACAACAAATGCATTGCTGTTTGTGTTCGTGTCTTAGCATTCCGCAATGCATATCACTCAATCACATATGTCAATTCTTTTCAGTACAGACGTGTAACCATTCCATTTTTGTATTTGTGATAATAAAACATAAAGCAATCTGTGATTTTGATACACCGCCAAGAAAACGGTATCACAGCAAGATAAAGGACAAGACTGGTAATGTATACTTAATGGTTTACGATACAGACGTTTTCAAAAATCCCGATCAGATATTCGGGAAGCCATGGATTTCTAAGCTGACATCATTGCGAAAAGTATACCTCCTCCTTAGTCTGTTGTCAAAGGATATAGTCAGGTTGCAACGGCAATAACAAAAACATGAATTCGAATTCTGCTTATCTCTTTTCAGTGTCTCTCTCTTCATCTAACTTTCTATTATTTCTTTCTCTGTTGTTTGTCTGTCTGTCTCTATCTATATTTAATCTATTTTTTCTGTTGTCTGTTCTTTCCCTCCCTCTCTCTCTCTCTCTCTCTCTCTCTCCATTTATCTGTCTCTAACTTATTTTTTTCTGTCTTTTCTCCCCCCTTTCTATCTATCTGTCTCTATTTCTTAACTATCTCTCTCTCTCTTCTCTCTCTCTCTCTCTCTCTCTCTTCTCTCTCTTCTCTCTCTTCTCTCTCTCTCTCTCTCTCTCTCTCTCTCTCTCTCTTCTCTCTCTCTCTCTCTCTCTCTCTCTCTCTCTCTCTCTCTCTCTCTCTTCTCTCTCTCTCTCTCTCTTCTCTCTTCTCTCGCACATGGGAAGATTTAGTCGCAGAGAAGCAAACAAATGAGAACTTTTTAAAGATATACCTCAAGCTAACGCGTTTTCTTTGAATATGTGTACACGAATTAGGGTATACTATTCTAATATTGATGCTTTCCTCATCTTTCAGTGACAAGCAGTTCTTGATCCAGTAGATTATGTTACGAATGAAAATTTTGGTAAAATGAAGCGGGAATCATTCATTAACTTTTATACAATATTGAATCATACAGTTTTAAACTTTTTTTTTGCATTACTAGCTGTTCCTACTGAGACAGTGTTATTGCCATTTATCATTTATGAACAATTTGGAAGAAAAAATATTGAAAGAAAGTAAGGAAAAAAGTTGCCTTAAAGCTGACTTTTGTTATGAATATATCTTATCATTTCTATTTTTATTTCAGGATGCGCTGGTTAGGAAGTGATTGGTGAAATAAATTACTACATTCAAGCACAATTGTATATCTACATGCTCAGACACTCTTCACTCATAGACATTTTGTTTCTCTCTACAAACATTGCTTTGTATATCCGATACAATTTCGTGAAATCCCTGAGTGTATTTTCTAATTATTGTAGATGTTTATATCATACACACACATAAAGCTGAAATTGATGCATACTGCGCCATCTCGCATCAAAATCATACACAGAGTATGTAACACGCGAAGATGTGTGTACTCATCACGAGAACCCTGATGCAGGAATGCGTGTATCCTTGGCCATGATCTTAGAACTCACTGGAAAATTAGGAAACACGTCGGAATTTCTTCTATTCGATGTTGAATTTCGAAAGTTGAAACTATATACATGCTGCAAATTCCCGCACAATATCTCGTCAGATATTAAGATCTACTAAGAAGCAACATCATACACTAGACCAAAATGTCTCAGGAGAAATGCCACACCTCGTTTTATGGGGCGTTTTAAGCAGTGAAATATCTTGCCTAAAATCTCAAGACTTTATTCTTGCTATCTCATTACACAAGGACATGTGGAATTAGCGTAACATATCGATTAATCAGGATTATTCTAGATATACTCAAAATAGGTCAGTCAAGTTATCCTTGTCCTGTACTTTATGCTTAGTATATATTATAGCTTCGAAATATATTGTGTGGAAGCATATACTCACCGTGTGCGTATATGTATTTTTTTTTGTTATGGAAATTAGGTCCAGGGATAGAATTTATGAATTACATAACAAACAATGTTTTGTCAGTGTTGAGCCGTATTCATATTGACAAATGAAGAAAGGTATGAATGAGAATGAATATCTTCACACTACAAGAAATGTATTTGACCGTTTTCGAATATATCTTCGCCAGAAAACATTTATTTCCGAAGGATATATTCGAAACCGGTCAAATACATTTCTTGTATTGTGAAGATATTCATTCTCATTCATACCTTTCTACATTTTGTCAATGTATTAAAAAAACAAATCATAGGAAATATGAGATATTTAATTGTTTTTGTGAATATCTGCAGTAAAACATCCACGATTCAAATGACATTACAAATAGGAATATATTGTTTGATCATAGATATAATCAAAGTAATTTTTCTGAATAAACAAACATCACTGAATGTAGTTATTATTTTCTCAACAGTATTTATTCTCTAAAGAAACATAAGAACAAAGATTGATACAGAACTCGCATGGTAATTTTTCAAATACTTTTTTGCATCTATATAAACCAAAATACTTTTAAACGGCAAGGCACTCTGTCGATACCAAAAAAAAAAAAAAAAAAAAGAAAAAAATAGCTTGCATAATATACCAAGTGCACGTACGTATGTGAATGAAAAAAAAAAAATTTTTGATCATTAATTAAACTTTTATAAAATATTCACAAAGACTCATACACTCGTAATAACTGATAAGATCAACACCAAAAAATAATAATAATGAAAATTATAATAACAAAAATCATAATACATAATAACAATTACAACATCGATTGCAGCGCGGGCTTAGTTCCGGGTGATGCAATGTTCATGTATTCCCATGTTGCAGCAAAGCATCTGTTGGGAATCCTGGAATGTGTATTCCCAGGGGCCTCCGCATACCTGGTAATACCCGTGAACCTGAGGAGCCAACAGTAAACGACTGGTTAGTATAATGTAGATGATTGTGAATGAATGGCGAGAGAAGTCGATAATTTTGAGAAGGTGGATGACGGTAAAACAATAACGATGAAAATAAGCGATTTGAATAATCATATTAGTAGGAATAATGGTAATCCTGATCATGGTAACATCAAGGGTAATGATAATGATGATAGTGATAATGGTAATTATGATAAGGATGATGGTGATAATGGTGATTATGATAATGATGATAACGATCATGGTAATTATGATAATGATAATAAGGATCATGGTGAATATGGTAATGATGATAATGATAATGGGTAACGATTATGATGATGGTATGAATCACGATGGCGATGATAAGGATGACGATGACGAAGGTAAAGATTATGATGAAGATGGTGATGAGGATGATAATGTGATGATGATGATATAATGATGATGAGGAGGAAGATGATAATGGAGATGATGATGATGATAATGATGATGATGATAGTAATAATGATAATGATGATAATAGCAAAAACATGATGAGGATAATAAAATGATCATAACACTTATAGTACTGCTAATAACAACAATAACAAAAATGATGATAAAGATGACGATGATTAAATAATGATAACAACAACAACAACAATAATAATGATAATATTGATAATGATAACAATAATTATAGCTTGAAGCACTCAGAGAGCGCATACCTCCGCCAAGGCAACAGGCTCACGGATGCAATAAAGCTATTCACACTTGGAGAATTACATTAACCGGTGACGTTAAATGCCAATGAATCACTTAAGAATGCCGGGATTTAATGGCATCGAAGTTGGGCTAACACATACTTCTGGTACAAGTTTCATAAAAAAACCTTTTCTTAACTTTCTGATTTATCCTGCTAACCAACGCTACCAAAAACGTAACCTCCTTGGCTGAGGTAATAATGATGATGATAATGATATTGATGGTTATAAGGACAACAACAACAACAATAATGATAATAATAGTGATAGTAATAATGCTATGGCAAACCTGAGCATATGCTACCGGTTGGAATGTCAGTCCAACCTTCTCACCATTAATACTAATCATTTCAACAATACACATAAAAACTACTGTTACAACGTAATCTACAAGGAAATCATAAACGTGATACTGACAGAAAAGAACAAAGAAAAAGATACTCCAACATACGTATTTGTTGTTAAACTGATCGACATTATAGGACGAAAAAAGATACTGGCAAATATTTGATCCAATAGTAAAGCCGCTGTCATCATGAGACCACAAGTCCATCTCGTTGGTGGCTGCTCGGATCTGCAAGGAAAGGAAGCAATGTTTACGTCCCGTGTCTGCAGAAAGGAATGTTATCGAAATATCAGAAATGCTAGATGAGATGTTTGCAAGGAAATATATATATATATTATATATAATATATATATATATATATATATATATATATATAATATATATGTATATATATATTATATATGTTTATATATATATATTATGTATATATATATATATATATTATGGGTATATGGTTATGTAAGAGTATATGTAGTAGTATTATGGGTGTGTAGGTGATGTATAATTGTTTTGGTAATAATATTATATATTTTGATATTACGATATATTGAATGATAAGACGTTTATGGTGTGGATTGTGATCTTTGGGTAGCTTTGTGCTTCTGTTAGTAGTGTGTGTTTATCTTATTTGTGTATATCAGTGAATATATTTATCTTGTGGAGTGGTGATCTAGTGTATAGGTTATATATATATATATATGTAATATCTATTATTTTTATATGTATATATATATATATATATATATATATAAATATATATATATATATATTATATATAACTATATAGTGTTATGTGTTGTATTGTAGCGATTATATATTGTTATTACTATATTAGGTAGATATAGGTATTATAGATGGTTATATGTGATATATGGGTATATATAATTATGAATTAATATATCATATATGATGAGATTTATATAT